TCAGTTTAACTTGTGGTACCAGTTTTTTATGTTCACTCAAGCTCCTAAATTCTGGAAAATTACAGCTGTTAAGGGCCATATCCTCAACACACACTTTTTAAGGCATTATGGATAAGGCATATGCTGTAGTTAGTTCACTCTTCACCATCTCCTTGTATCCGGATGGCTGCCAGTTGCAGACTTGTGGACCTAATTTCTGCATTTGTCTGCTCACTGGAATTAGGCACACAAGGTTTATGCAGCTGAAGCCATGTAACTGGTATTCCAGTACCCAACCAAGTAGCCAATTTGATTTCCTTGTAGAGAGGAGTTCATAACTCAGTGTTACTGATCTGGAGATGCCACTCTCTCTTCAGGCAGAAATGATATTTAAATCATCTGGAACACAGTTTCTGTCTGAAAAGTCACATCTGCATTAAAGAACATGAATAGGACATTCCAAAGCTAAACAGTTTGAGAAAGAAGTCCCTCCTACCACCTCTGCATTTCCTCTGGCATGGGTGCCTCTTAGTTCATTTTCATTTCCACAACAACTAGCAGTATTTGGAACATTTCCTTATCTTGAAAAGTTCTTTTTCTTCTTTTTCCTACTTTTCCTATTTTTCCATAGTTTTTCTTCCTCTGCATTTCATTTGGGGCTCATGAACCCAAGGGCTTCAAAAGTTATATCTGCTGTGTGAAAAAAGTTACTATTGATTTATGGATATGCCATCTGGCTTTTCTGCCTTGGTAAGCAAAAGGGTGGAGTGCTACACTGACTGCCATATGGTTACTAATCAGGCCAAGTGAAACAGGACAGCACACTCTGCTGTGGGAACAAGCTCTCAGGGCAGATGCAACCACACTAAACAAGCTCCTCTATACTGCCTTGCCATCAATCTGCAGGAAGAGGCTCTTACTCTCTCTCAGTTTCCTGTGGTGGACCCCTCCATGAATAGCACTTCAGGGCAATTGACCACAGTATCAGGAATAGCAGCCTTTTCAATATTATCAGCTTTGGCCTCCACCATGGACCAGCCCCTTCATACTAACAACTGAGACCAACAAGTCCCAATTACTCCACGATAGCCATGGCTCTTCTTGTGGCTAACAATGAATTCATGGCAACCCACCAAATGTGCCTTATGGGAAAAAGCAGCGACTTCCTTGTATTGTCTCTTGGAAGACATTAGAAACCTAGTGATGATATTCCAAGCTGAAGCCCAAGGGCCTGTGGGGCCAATAATGTAACACAACCAAACACTATCAACTGCTGGTTCAAGGTCATGGAAGCTGCTGTCTCTCTGAGATGTCAGTGTAAGGCTTCCCCAAGAGGACAGGTCAAGTGTGGAAGAACTTCTATTCCAAAGGAAAGGCCTTTTCAGTGTTCTGTATCTACAAAGGTTACCCTTGATTACTTTAGCAAAATGAAGACATCCACCCATAACATGGAAATAAGATTTCAATCCTCTTTAGCTTTCACCCACCAACCACATTGTACTAGCAATGTCAGTGCCCCTTACTGTGCAAACATTAGCTTCCAAACAAGGCCCCCAGTATTTCATTTCCAGGATACTGTTTCATAGAAAATGCCACCAGCCCATACCAAGTAATATCCCTGCCCAATCTAAATGTTGCCTTTGCTGTAGGACTTCTCTGTAAAAGTCAGTTATTATTTATTCACCTTCAGGAAGAGAGACTAAACCCTTTTCTTATTGCTTGGATATCTACCACCACTGACATTCTGCATCTCTCCATCAATACCTCAGGCTTTTCTGTTAAATTTGAATAGCCCTCTTCTACAAAGATCATTTGCTATGGTCTTCTCAGGTCTTAAGGAAAATTAGCCATCATCTTAAGGAAAGGCAAAATAGAAAAGCTTTCCCTGCTCAGATAACCACTGCTTTCTTCTCCAGGAATTTTATAGTCCTCAAAAAGGACAGAGGTCATCAATCCGTGCTCAGGCTTCATTTTCCTCCATTCTTCCTACTTTGGGGTGATTGGTTTGCTATAATAGATCTTTATGGTGCCTGAATGTCTTTACAAAGTGTATGGCATAGGGAAAAACCCTGAGATTTAAAGAGATTGTTGTCTTTCCATACACAGACATCTGGTTCCATGTTGGTCCTTCTTACCACTATGTCAGCACCAACTTCAACATAGCCCTTACAGTTCTAGAATCTTTTGGACTACATATCAATAAAGAAAAATCCTGTCCCAAAATGGGAAAGGATTCTCACCTTGAATAGTTCATAGGGGCACTTAGTCCACTCAGTCCTATGCCTACCTTAGACAGAATGGATACCCTTCAAATGTTTGTGACATTTATCCTCCTATTTATCCACACCATTTTTCATTCCCTTTGTTTCACAGACTGTAATGACTGTCTTCCACAGACTTTCTACCAGAGCCTTTTATGCTGTCAAGTAGAAAGCATCCTGAAATTTCTTGGCCTAATATGATAGAACTATAAACCCTGTGGTCTTCCAAGTGTAATGGATTTTCTTTTTTCTTTGAAATTTAAAGGTTTAGCACTGTTAACAGTCAAGGTCTACTCAGCAGCAAAATTAGAAAACCATGACAATAATGAAGTTCTGTTCCCCCCAAACACTTGCCTGATTCTATTTACCAGCATGCAGACTCTCGGCCTGGAGTCATCCAGTGGCTCATCCAGTGGCCAGACTCTTTGAGCCTATGGCTCCAGCCAGCTTTAGGCTCTGCATAATGAAAGTGGCCTTCCTTGGTGCCATTAATTAATTTCTTCTGTGTTGCCCTATTTCACTACACCTCATTGCCAGATAAGTGATTTTGGCTATACTTCTGGCCTATCAGGTGTCACACATACTGGAACCCCTGCAAGTGCAGGGATGCTCATCTGGAGCCACTGCATCCTCTGGGTTTTTCCTCAGAGGTATTTCGCTTCCATGGTTTTGTAGTGTGGTGATCCAGGCTCAATCTTTTACCTTCATCAGACTTTACCAGCAAGGTATCGAGAGAGCATGCCAATGTGACTTTCGCTATGCTGGTACTTCAATTTTTTGTTGTGGACTCTGTGCATTACAGATATGAACTCTGCATGCGTGCATGAACCTCAGCTGGGGAGATTCCAAAGCTAATTCAGTGGGACCCATATCTCCTATCACCCAACATGAGTGGAAGAATTCCACTGAGACTTCAGCTGTCATCAGCACATTGGGAAGTTCTTTTGTTATACCTCACTCCAAAGCAACTCTGTATTACTCATGCCATCATCTGCAGGTTCCTGAAAGGCCTTGCTAACCTCATTCCACCTGTCCAATGACCAATACCAACATGGAGCCTTTCAATTGTCCTTCACTCAATTGCATAGAAACCCTTTGAACGCATGGCTTCTGCTGATGTCTGTCTCATTTCATTTAAAACAGCATGTAAGACAGCACTGGCTGATGTCACACTCAAACTGGCTGAAGTGATTAGGGCAGTGGTGGTGAACCTATGGCATGTGCACCATTGTCGGCACATGAGCCAAGTGATGCCAGCATTGCCCCAGTAGCCATGCATTGGATAAACAGCCCAAATAGGGGTCATGCTCATGCTCGGAAAAGAGTAGTGCCACCAGGCGATGATATCACGAGTCACGACTTATTATCCATGACTCATCCATGCTTTCGCATGGCCAGTCAGTGTGCTGCCAAGGATATATATGTATAAATGGACTGGCTGTGAGTTGTTTTTTCTAAACGAAAACCTCGGTTTTCAGGTGTGTTGTAGTGTTGGCACTTAAATAAGTGGGTTTTGGGTTGCAGTTTGGGCACTCGCTCTCTAAAAGGTTCACCATCACTGGTCTAGGGGATAAGCTCCCACCAAATAATAATTAATCAGCTTTGGGATCTTCCCGACTGGTGTCCATGCATGCACACAGAGCCTATATGTGTGAATGCACAGATGACTGCTAGAAGAACAACAGTTACACGAAGGCAACCTGCCTTTCTGACATGACATTTCTCTCCTTTCACAGAGATCACAAGGAAGGGGTTCCTTGCCTGCAATTATAGTTCTTCAAGTGGTCATCTGTGATCTCGTAGAAGCTACCTTGCTTCCCACTTGCCTCACCTATTTTTCTGTTGCGAAGATTTGGATTTGAGGGGCACTTGAGAGAGGCAGGTGGCTTGGTTCCTGCCTAAAACTCTGTTTAGCTCTAGAATGTTCCAAATGACATTCTTGCACAGGCACATAACCTCTTATCTGTGGATTCACAGATGACCATATGAAGACCCAATTACATTGGTATCTGGTTACCTCTCCTCTCCCCATTTCTGACTCTAATGGCAGGATGAAATTCTTCTGACTCACCCTTGAGGTAGACCTATCCTGTATGTAAGCTTAGAAGTAAATGCAATTGGGTTTAGTGGGGCTTCTGCTCAGGCTGTAACTTTTACAATGCTTTTCCCAGGTCTAGGAGTTGAGCTTAAAGGCACAAACTGCAAGACAGAGCAAGAGAGACTATGATTTTATGTTTTTCCTCTATACCACTCTGGCTACATTTAGTGGGGTATAAGTAATACTATTTTTACTATTTTAAGAGTGACCAGATAAGGAGATTGACACACAGAAGGAACCACAGGAAGGAAATAGGAAAAGAAAAAGAAAAGATTACAAGGAAAATACATGGAAATAAAAATAAGGAGAGGAAGGGGGTATATATGTACTGAGTTTGAAATCTTGTCAGTGAGGAAATGAGCAAAGAAGAAAATGTGAAAATGAGTGGGAAGGAATTTTAGTATCAAAAATACTTGCATTTGACAAACGTCAACTGAGGAGCAGAGAGAACATATTTGTACTCTTCATTCATAATTTGAACTTTTAAGGGGTAATTAGAACTCAAGAAATTTCACTGCTAATATTAGAATAATTCCTCCCTGCCACTACCAAATGCTTAAAAATCCCAGCCCAGCAAGATTTTTTGTATACAGTGAAGCTTTGTTTTCCAGTTTATGCATGTTAATTCATGCTCTATATTTAATATATTTCTTTTATTGCAGATAACTGGAATCCATATTCCCATCCATATAAGAAAATAGATTTTGGGAAATGGGAATTGTTCATCCCACCTGGGCCAGATGGATTTAATCCTGTTTCACATGGATCAAAACTGAAGGTACTGGTTTTAAAATTGTACTTTTTCCTCTATTCAATCATTCTCAGAGCTGTTATTGAAGTTTTCCCGGTGTTCTGTGATATGCCAATTTATATTTTAAAGTTCAAAGGAGACTTGCAGATCCTTCTCTTCACCTACATGGCTCCCTGTCAAAATAATATAAAACAAAGGTATCACAATGCTGCAGCGAACAAAAGGGATTGTAATGAATAAGAATGGTGACTTTACAGCAACCCTAAAATAACTGAATATAAATAAGGATTTAATAAATGTTAAGAGAAACACAGGACTAGAGTGTATGGCTTACACATTAGGGAGATAGAGACTAGTGAAGAGAAATCTACCTTAAGTTACATGCCTAAAAGACTATTATGTAAATTCAGTAATAAATGAATAAATGAACAGGGTTAGGGCCTGAGACTTGAGGGTGGAAAAAAACTCTCTGAAGGTAAATCTCTTTTCCAGCTTTTCCCATGCCAAAATTGGCTGGTAGGTTGGATCTATAGAATCTTTATGTTCTTTAGCAATTTTCATACTCCTAATTTGGTGTGTGTGTGTGTTTTAAGAGGTTGGACACATTCTGTGCACACTTACTTGTGCAATCTCATTTTGCTTTTGCCATTATTTGAGCAAGAGACATTATCTTCATATAGAAAGGGATCTTTCAGATCCCTTTATTTTAAGTGGTTAACCTTATCTTTCCAGGTGGTATCAAAGGGAGAAACCAGATATCTAATATTACATTACAGGGAAACAGTTTATGCTTTCAGAATTAGTGAAGATAGGAAAATGGTAAAAGATGTATAAGCAGAATTCATGGGCATTATACCATTGCAGAATCTTTCTGCTATGTTGCTAAATCTTGGCCTTCTGAATTGTGCAGCGGCTCTGCCTATTAGATTTCACCTTGAACAAATTAACAAAAGATTTCAGTAAAGATTGGTACCATAGCTGTTTGCAATTAAATGAAGCAAAGGGAAATGTTATAAAATGTGCATTTGCTCATGAAACATGCAATATGTCAAGCAGGTGATGTTGTGTCAAGAGACTACAGGTATGTAATTTCTCAATATTGGTAGCAATATAGTAGAAACTTTCAACTTTACAGCTAAATGCTGCTTACAATTGTTAACTATGTTGGCACTCATGACACCACCCTATATACCTCTATACAGAGGGAACTCCCATTAATTCTGTGTGTGTCACTCCCAGTAAGTTAGTAGACTGGCTCCTACAACTTTTGCTTAAACTTTTTGTGTTATACCTAAGGTTTATAGACAAGAGGTGCTTCTTTTTGCTGGAGAAGAATGGAGGGACACCTGTGCATACAGCTTCTCTTCTACTAGTGGAAGCTTCTCCTAGGAACAACGCAATCAGTTTTGGATATAATGCTATATCAGATTTATTCTAGGTTCATTTATTTGCATATTAAGTGAAATGCAATTTATGTTTCTTAGATAATGACTTTACAAACTGCCAGGGAATCTTGAGCCTGATCCTTCCTGCAGAACATTGTTTCCAATTCATTGCTTTGGTTCTCCTGCCCAGCAGTTAAACTTCTTTTTAAAAAATTGCCCACTAGTACAGGGGTTGTTCTTCCCAAGCCTAATTGCTTTACCATTGGAGAATTTTTTGTGGATATTACCGATAGAGAGGAAAGATTTACTGTCTTTTCCACTAATACACCTGGTTTATATGCCACAGAAACTCATCATGGGCAACCAGCAGAGGTAAGTTCTTGTGTTGTTTGAACTCAGACTGCTTCCTGCAGCGTGGCTTATTTCTGAGCAACAAGCAACCCTGACAATTCATTTGAGCCATCCAGGTGACTGATAACACCGTAGGCTGAAGCAATTAGTTAGTGAGCTGTTTAGCAAGAATGAGAACATTGCTGCCCTTCATGATTTTAGTTGTGCTGCTGTCACTAAAAGCCCATCTACCTGTGCCCAAGAAACACTTCGAAGCACTTGTTACTGAATTACAACTTGTTAAAAAGAATGTTCCCTTCCAAATTGCACAATTGCATTAATTTTTAATTACGGCTTTTGCTAGCCTTTTATAGGTGCACAGTTATGCACTTACGGTTATCAGAAATATGTTGTTTTTCTGTACTAATGGCCTTGTAAATTTCAGCTTTCAGAGAAAAGTGGAGTCAACTGACAGGGCAAGACTGCATATATGTCCAGTGGTTAAGGGTTTAGACTGGGGCTTCCTGCTCAGCCATGGAACTAATTGGGTGACTTTGGGCTAGTCACAGACTCCTAGCCCAGCCTACTTCACAGGGTTAGTATTCTGAAGATAAAATAGAGAGGAGAATTACATACATGGAATTCCTTGAAAGGAAAAAGTGGGATATAATTATAATAAACAACCAAACAATAATTTACACACCTGTCAATTGCCTAGTAAGTTTAATGGCTGAGAAGCAAAAGGTAGGGATATATGTAGATTCAATGGATGGGAGGTAAATGGAGGGGAAACTTGTATATGTGCAGTAAGTGTTCCATAATTGGAGCTGCACAGAATTTTCTTCCATTCACTTCTCTCTCTTTTAATTGGAGCAAATACAAGTGATCTAAAACAATGCACCAATATTCCTACCTGTTTACAACAAAACAAACAGAGGTGGCAGAACAGGTTGGAGCAAATGGAGAAGTCCCATCCCCCCCTCCCAATTCCATGGGACAGTATTTAATCCGTCCGATTCAGCCCCATCCTCAAGATTTTGTTGAGAACTGTCAGGGAGCTGCAGTAGCCACAGCAGTAAGTCCTCTGAATTGGACTGAGGACTTAATGTCTTCTCTTTCTGCAAGGACTACACACATCGGGAAGTGGTCAGTTCAGCTCTTAAAAGCCAAAAGAATGTACTTTTAAGTGATTTTCTTGCTACCACCTTTGGTGCACCTATTTTCATTGTTTCCTCTTAATTTTGAATTAACAGCTAGGCAGTTGACATCTGGCAGTGTGCACAAATTAGCCTGTATTCAGGGTGGCTTGTCAATTTCCATACATGTTACCTACTGCCTTCTGCTGATTAGGAGACAATTGACAAGAAAAGACTACTTCTGTGGGACAGCTATAAGTGTGAAATTGAAGAAGACCACTACCACCAGCAACAACAAAATGATTAACCCAGAAGAGATAGGGAGGAGGGGGTTACAATATGGAGAAGGCAAGGCTTCAACTCTTCGTTTTGGTAGGAATGGGGGAGAAGGGGGTAGGGGATGGGTTGCAATATAAAGGGGGAAGGCTCCAGCTCTTTTTTGGCACACTTTGCTTTCCTTGGCAGGAAATGCAACATCCTGCATTTTGGGGTTATGTATTATCAATATGGTCAAGTTACAGTTAACCAGAGAAAGAAAGTTGTTTTTTGCTTTTTTGTGGGGGTAAAAAGCTGCAATTTGGGGTTATTTTTCAGGCATTGTTCAGGACAGTCTGGGAGCAATATCATGAAGTTATATTTAACTAGGAAAAGAAAGGCTGTTTTGGGGGGCTGCAAAACTGCATTTTGGGAGACAGTCATCTCGTGTTTTTCTAAACTGCAATTTTGATAAATTCAAATAACAGTACAGCTTTGTTTAATAAATAAATGCATTGTTTAAATCGTGGTTGACATAAAGGACTTCCATGCAGCACTGAGAGAAGTACAGATGAGAACTTCGAGGGGGGGTTAGAATTCTCACACCCCCATGTACACACCCCATCTCCATCTCCCTTTTTCTGTTAAATTTGCCTCTTGCAATGACTTGAGACTCAACTTGGACGTGCAAGTAAAGACCTGAGACTTGACTAAAGACTTAGAGTAAAGGACTTGAACACATCACTGCAGTGAACTCCACAAAAGTGGCTTTTCTCCCCACAATTAGGCTTGAAACAAAAATCGTCCATTTGTCTCCAGTGTAAGAGGGTTTTGTTTTTGTTTTGTGTTTTTTGTGCCACATATTCGTATCTTGCTGTGCAATATCTTGGTTACTTTTTAGGCTTTGCTTGCTTATTTTTTGCACAGCGTGTTTCCTCCTTACAAATCAAGTTTAATCTTGGGAGGGGGGCAGGGGGACCTCTTGACAGTTTCTGACAGTTTCTATAACCTAATGGCAAGATCTACCATTTTCTATTCTCTTTTATCTCTCTGTGAATTCTTTAAATTCAACAGATTTTGCTGTAGTTGTTGTTCAGTCGATTAATTTGAAGCCATTGCCATCCACATCTGAAATGATTTAATCTGCAGATTAGTTGTATTCATTTATGGAGAGAGTTTTAACTGCTAAAAACTGGCAATAATATAGGAGTGAAATTTCACTGTATCTCAGAGTTGCTAGGACTTATTTTCAGGGATATTCTTTGGCATTGCAGAAAAGACATCAGCCAGGTATACAGCACTAGAACAGTATTTTTTGTTTGTTCGTCCAGATCTAGAAGATTCCAATCCATCCAATTGGATAAATAATTAGAATAATTTCAGAGATTCCCAGACATGATCAGGGCATCTTCTACGATGACTCTTCTACAAAATTAATCCTCAAATACTTGTTTTTTCATTTTTACTCTGCTGTGAAAAGTTCAGCCTTAATTCCAATACCATGCATGCATGGAATTAGCTTTATTTCAACCTTTCTTGGGCATCTCCCTCCAAGATATTTTTTCTCTGAGAGTTTGGGAATGCTGCAGAATTGGATGATGTAATACCACAAGACAATGGATCAGGAAAGTGGGGACTGACTGAATATTGTGTCTCAGCTCAAGCAGAAAGTATCTTCCATGCCTGCAAGAGAGGATCTAAGCCCCCCCCCCTTTTCTCTCTCTCAACTTTTAGAGTTAAAATTTGCTGTAGTAGTAGATATCACCATGAGAATATAAGATACAAAGTGGCCTAATTTTTGGAAAGTATGTTCTTCATGCTCAAAAATGTGACCAATGCCAAAGTGAATAATTTAAAATATTAATGATTATTGCAATCAAATGTCATGACAGTAGCCCAGCTAATTCTTAGATTTCATTTT